CGGGGTTGTGTCACTGGGCTATAAAGTTCGTTTTATAGAGTAAGGAGCCACCGTCACTCAAACCCCCAATCTGAATGGCCAGGAGACTGAGTTTATCTGGCCTCTAACCACTGACCAATCTAGTATGACTGGGTCTGAAGTTGCAAAAAAGCACCTCCCAGGATAGCCCATTGGATCGCTGAGGCACGCAAACCATCACACTTTGTTAAGGTCCGGTCTCGTAGTGATGACATCACTCGAATGATCAAACGTACAGGTATTGTGACCATTGCTGGTGATGTGGACGCCAAACTAAGTTACCTACCGGTCTGAGCATTGTTTTGGCGGCTGAATCGTAGTTGAAGTCTCGTGTACCGACAAAGATGACCATTTTCTTCAGCTGCACATCGGCCATCTCCATCATTTTCATATCCAAAGGAAAGCTCCCATTGAAAACGCCCGCATCAGGTCACCTGTGGTTCAGAGTACAATATGTTGGGCTACACATAAATCCATAATATCCCCTTTAACCATATATACTGAAAATTTGAATGGCTTAGAGTAACCACACAAGCTCGGATAACACAGCTGTGAATACGGAGTCTCCAAGCCTCAGTGAAGTGGTCGAGGTCGCTAGCTAGTTAAATAGGCAGCAGTGTCTGTAAATTGCAACGCTGGATATCAGTAATGACAAATGTGAAGGAACTGCAAACAGAATTGAGGGACATTCAATGCGCAATGATGAAGACATGCAAAGTCGTGTTAGCATAGTTTGAGTTGCAAAAATAGTGCAGGGATCTCAGAAGTTTCGATAAGCTTGATTGAGTTATGGGAAATGGTTATCTTGAACGTCGGCTTAAAAAGGTAGGCATTAAGCTGAAACAGTTTTGGATCAGCGGATCAAAAAGTAAGCCGGGAACAGCAGACGACAGCAAATAGATAAAGTGAGTGGAATCGATAGCACCTGACCACCGCCCTAATGCAGCTGAATAAGAAGTAAAGAAAGGATAAGAGAGATAAGGAAATAGCTGACAAAGACGAACAAATGATTCACCACCGGATTAGCTGAGTTTGACGATAAGGGTAAAATTTTGAGGACTAAATCGGATCTCACTGTGATAACTTGCCGGACAAATCACATGAACCCACCTGAGGTGTTGATATTGCGACTCCCACCTTATAGGAGACCCGATGTGGTTTCAAAATGATGGAGTGATGCAAAATGGCCGGGGTAAGCGGCTCCACTCCATCACTGAGGTAAGACGCTGGCGACTCATCCGTACATAATCTTGTCGATCTATACCGTTAGCTATACCTTTTCCTAGCCAATTGCACACACAGCGCAATCAAATTCAATAAGAAAATCATGTTCTTCCACAGATCTCTCAAGATGGTCCTTAACGCTAACAAATTTCATCCAACGGGCGAAAACACCTTTAAGATGCGCACTATTCGTTGAGTAAATAATCTCAAATCAGCCGATAGTATAGCAGGCTGGCTTGCCGAACAACCTCCTCGTGGTGCCAGCTGGGTAGTTCGGGATTTTCCCGTTCCAGCAAATGGTTCCGCGACAGTGTTCCAGGACGTGGTGGGTTTTCGACTTGCAAGCGTTCTCCCTATAAAAAACAACACATGTCCGTTTAACAAGACTGTGACGTGGCGGACGTGACTCGCCACTAAATAAAGTCACTGCCCCTTGTTTCATCCTGGTGAAACATTGTATTCCAGCAAGTTTATGCTGTAATTTTGGGGAGCATTGGGCCCCTGTTTATAAAGGAACAAACGAAAGGCGTATGAACTGAGCAATCAGTTACCGGCTCCCAATGGGCGCGATTCCCTGAATTCGCTCCGCTGCCTTGCGGGCAGGCTAATCAGCCAAAGGCTCGGGGTGGTGTCCTCTAAGTCAACACCCAACTTCGGCTTGGGCAAGCGGGTAGTATCTCGCCCTCGAACGAAACCATGGACTTTGATGAGTTGTGTTGTGTGATCTTTTACTATTTCTGTACCTTGTTTTGAGTTCCATGGTTTCCGATGGCTCAATGTCTATTCATAGACTGTTGCGATATACATAGCAGAGGAGTACAGAGTGCGATGCTATTGGCTGGTTTGAGGTTGGGCACTAAATAAACAGTAACATTTGGGGGCGTTCGCGCCCGTTGGATGCAATTCGATAGCATTAAAGATCATCTTGAGAGATCTATGGAGGAACATGATTTCCTTTGGGAGGGGAATTTGAAAGCGCTAGAGATGCAATTGACTGAGAAAAAATACAATTAACTACGCAATAGAGTAGCGCCTTCGAGCGGACTTTTTGTAAAACTCATGGACGTAGTAATATCATCAATGCTACCAAAAGAATTCCACGCACAGTGCCGTTGCAACTCAAACCCCCCCAAGGGAGATGAACGATGGATACTCAGGTCGACTTCGACTTTTCAGAGAAGTCAGTAAACATGATTTTACGTTTCACCCAGTGTTCGAGCTACATTTTATATACAAACCCCATATCATGATGGTCTTGTGTGAAAAAGACTGTCAGCGCTTCAGTTAGTCACGCCTGTTGTGAGCGTTGCATTTCTCCTGTAAAAGTGCATCATAGAAACTTCTCTTCCGCTGCCTTTACACTGATAACTCTCTCGAATTGTTGACGAGAGAATGCACACAAAGTTGTCCCATTTTTTCCAATCCATTACAACTCTTCTCCTAAAATGATCGCAACCTGTGGTTGAACCCATCAGGTGGGAATATTTATTGGCTGATCGACTGATGGGCTCAGAGCGTGTGGATGAGATAGCTCCCTTCGAGTAAAACACATTACAGCACACAAGACCTGCTGAATAAGCTAGTGTAGAGCGTTGTAAGCTTCAGGATGTGCCCAGTAGATTCAAAGTGCAAGATAACGAAGCAAGATCAAGTTGGTACAATAATGGCTCTTACAAATACGGAATAATCATCCGAAGTGGCTGATGGGTTTACCAAGCTGGCTATCTGTGTCCCTACTTTGAGTCAAATAACCGAAAAGGTTATTGCACACTTCTGAGCGGTATCTCATGTCATACAAGATACTACACAGCTATGGAGACGGCGGACACAAACATATTGGTGAAGGACGAGATAAACAATGTCTCCACGCGGTTAGAGTCAATGCAATCACCCGATGTGTGGCCACCATGTGGGTCTGGGGAAACTGTGTTTATATCTTGTGTGTGTGTCAAATAAACAATGCAGAAGTCTTCCGGTCGATATCGGGCAACCAGTTCCCCAGTGCTGCGTTGGCAAGGAAAGGAAGGCAGTGCTTGGCAGCCTTTTGAATCTCAGCCGCCTCTGTTAGGTAACTGATGTCCTTCGCGTACCCAATAAGATATCTTTTTGCAAGGCAAATGTGTTTAGCTGGATGAAACCCCGGAACCACGGGTCAATGAGTTTGCAATGAAGCGTTAAAAAGTTGGTCGAAAGACGGCCAGGATAACGAATATCGTTTTCATCAATGAGATCTTTGGATAGACAACATCACTGAACGTCAATGGCCATAGAATTCGCTATCGGATGACTTTAATGTTAGTCGCACACTTTTCCGAATGGTAAGTCAAGGATCCCCGCTTGAAATCGGCCAAAGTGCGGACGGTCTCTGTTAAGAGGATCACGTAACAAAAAACCAAACGGATCAAACTCCAGGCCTTTTTCAGGAATCAATAGGGATAATCGCATTGGTTAAGCAAAAAAAGTAAAAGCTAATACTATTATTGGTAAGTAAATAAAAGAAGAGAGAACGTTCAGGAGGGACGCCACGAACAAATAAATATCGGTACCCTGAGCTCTGTAGTCGTCTCGTGTCTGGAAACCATTAGACCGTGCTTACGACTTTGCCTTTTTAATCGGTCAATCGGAGGCGGGCAGATTTTCGTGAAAAGCCAATTGGAGTGGTTGGTGTGACCTTGGTGACCATAACAATTGGCGACGGAGGTGTGATCCTAAACCACGCGGGGGAAACTCCAATGGTGGCTATAACAATCTCACAGTATCCCTAGCCCGGACCCGACTGGTGGTGGTCACGTGAAAGCGAAACGTCGATGCAGAGCACTGGAGTAGTGCCAGTGTCCCAGTGATGCAGTGGAGCTGCTGAATTCGAAACGTTTAGGTTATCCAAACCACACTCTGAATTTACATGTCAGTCATCGAACCCGCTATATGCTAAGTGCCGACAATGAGGCTGCTTGGATGAGAGCTCAGGGTGACTAGTTGATGACACGGTGAAGGAGAGCAGCTAATCGATGAGCTGAATTGCATTGACAATGCCGTTTTATGGGTGCGGCATCAGTCAGTCACATCAGGACAAGAGGAAACTGCTAACAATAAGGAGCTGCATCAAAGTTCTTCGTGCCGTTAATTTTCTCGGTTCATAGTATGAATACCCTACTTTAAACGCAGAATTGACGTTTTTATTATGATTCCTTCCTCCGTTCATTTCTGTTTGCTTCAAGCCCATGTTAACTTGGATTGAGTCAACTGGATACACGTTGTCCTATGCAAAAAGCATAGTCAGTAAACTGAACTGATGGATACTGAATGTGTTCAGTTTGCAACACACGCATGCACGAGAACCGCGACGTCACGAATGTCGTCAGTGCGACGAACAGTCGGAGTTCGGGTGTAAACTGTGCGTGAACACCGTGTTTGATCACAAGCACATGGACTTCCGTTCACCCAGTGTAAATGATTCATTGCGTTAACGTTTGACGCTTGCCCATTCCTAGCGAGTAGCTCAGTTTTTTACTGTCAAACGCGAGAATATGAAGTAATGGTAACCCAGTTGTGAGGCACGTCCACAGTCGGTATCGCCAGCTTCGATGCTTTGAGATGTGAAACAGCCGTGACAATTTCAGAAGAGAGCACCAAATAAACTCTGATTCATAAGCAAGAAATAATAAATCGCTTGAAACTGACCCGCAACAGATTGCGATCGACGTGTAATGTCGTAGACATTAAAATAAGCTTAGGAGTTATAGAGGAAGCACACGCACTTTTCTCTCCATTGATTTGCTAGGAGGTGCTGGTACCTCCGTTGAATCCAGGTGATCATCTCAGACAGGCCAGCAGTGGGAAATGCTAGGCTGGCCATCGTCCGATTGAAAAGTACGGTGTAGTCCTTCAGACGGATTAGATCCTTTGCCGACAAACAAGCTCCAGAATTGATTCGAGCGAATTCCACCAAGCGATCCACCGTGGCGCTCCACAACTCATCTAGATAAGTTTTATAGGAAGCAGACTGACCGGGTAACGTGCGGCGTAGGTAATCATCGACCACGAAGAATCCGCAAATAGAGCCGAAAAATTCCCCATAATTGCGCATGGTAGCCTAAAGGATAAGAAACACGAAGGTTGTGAAGTTGTGAATATGGTACCACCATAGTAGAGTATGTATGGTAGGCAGCATCCGGTCCCGAATTCGCCTGTAACTGCGGCCTCCATGGGGAGAGCCACAGGGCGTCTACGCCTACATAGGGACCGTGAATGGCTTGCGCTACACCACCCACCGCTCCATCCACACACCCCATATCCAATGTGAATCCGAAGGAATAAGACCAGGAGGCATGTGGATAAGAACCACGTTTCAACGGCGGAGCCGGCCCACACTCTTTCAACATGCACAGCACCAGCATTCCTGTCTGTCTATTGAGGGAATTATGTGTACCAGAGGTACACAAAGCAGTGGCTTGGCCGTAGCCCGTTCCACATTGGATAGATCCATCATTTCAGTCTAGCATGGTCACAAGGACTGTGAACCCCGACCCCCAAGCACCGACTCAGTGTCCCAGTCAGTAATCGAGGTGGGGGTGCTAGACATATAGGCACTTTGTCAAGATTCACATCAAGCGCAATCACATCGGGAATCTCAATCAGCAACCAAAACCTGAAATGCGCGAAACTCAACATGCAGGCATACGTACAGACCAACTACAGCGATGATGTAGCACACACACCACATCAACCGCAGTAAAGGTCTGTGTTATTAAACGGAATTGAACTGGGAACAGCGTACGTACTAAGCGCTGCGCTCATGGTGATTAGCTATTTAGCTTAGTCGTCTTCTCTTACATGTTGGCGCCGCTAACCAGCCTGGCTGAGGCACTCGCCACCGCATGTGCTACAGCATAATGCGCTTGATATCGACTGGCTATTCACCATTGGCGCCTGTCGCTTCCGTACCCTGCGTTTCTCCACCGCGTGTACTAATGCTTTATGCTGCACAAGGGTAACTGCCCTCTTAATCAGTTCACGTCATTCCCGCCAGCTGCCATCGCTGAGCATTTTGAAAAGCAATTTAATTGGCTAGAATTGTTCGATTCGCCGGTCACTGATCGCCCTGCTCCGTGGGCTGTCCCTTTGGATCCACCCTCTTGCTCAGAAGTCGAACATGAGATCGGACTGTTGAAGTTGAACAAAGCCGCGAGACCAGAAGATCTTCCTACAGCCCTCTTCAAATTCGGAGGCTCTGCTCCTGTTGACGCTTTACATGAGTTACTAGTGAAACTGTGGGAGCAGGAGACTGTCCCAACCGACTGGAGCCGCTCCGTTATTGTTCCCATCTTCAAAGGCGCTCGGAATGCGGCAACTATAGAGGAATCAGTCTGATCTCCATCGTATCCAAATTACTCGCCTCCATAATTCCTCACAGACTGACTGGCACTCGTGAAAGCCAGATTCGTGAGGAGCAAGCCGGGTTTCGTCGGGGTCATGGCTGCATCGACCACATCTTCCCCTTGCGTCAGTTGTTGGAGCACCGTCACACATATTGGTGGCCAACCCTAGTCGTCTTTCTCGACATCAAAGATGCCTTCGATTCGGTTGATCGATGTGCGCCTTGGAATTGTTTACTCAGGAAAGGTGTACTCGAAATATATGTAAATATTATCTAAGCATTATATGTGCGTAGCACGGGCAGTGTGAGGGCTTACGGCAACCTGTCGCCACCCTTCAATATCTCCAGCGGTGTGAGACAAAGATACCCGCTGTCACCCTTCCTCTTCAACTTCGCTACCGACGAAGCCATGGAGATTGCATTTACAGGACATGACTTGGAAGGTGTGGAGCTACTCCCAGGAGAACGACTTCTTGACTTAGAGTATGCAGACGACTTTGCCCTCATCTGTCACAGCTCCCAGACGTGCCAAGCCGCGCCGGACAGATTAGCGCTGGCTGTCAGCTGCTTCGGGCTTTGCTTTGCACCATTGAAGTGCAAAGCGTTTCTCCAAGCTTGGCAGCGATCGCCTCCTGTGCTGACCCTTGGTGGGGATCAGCTAGAAGTCGTGCGGAAATTCAGCTACCTGGAAAGTTGTATCAGCGCCCTTGGGATCGAAGACGAGATCACGAACCGTATAGCAAAAGCTCGAAGTGTTTTTGCTAACCTTCGCCACCTATGGCGGCGGCGCGACATCACTCTCGCCCTGAAGGGTAGAGTGTACAATGTAGCGGTACGTTCGACCTTACTGTACGGTTGCGAAACCTAGCCCCTAAGATCGGCGGACATGAAGAGGCTAGTTACGTTCGACCATCGGTGCCTTCGCAGTTTGGCTCACATCTGGTGGGAACACCGCGTGATTAACGAGCGTGTTCGACGCATTGTTTACGGCCCAGGAAAAGGATCTGAACCGCTCAGCACCGTTATTTCCCGCACCAGGCTCCGATCGTTCGGCCACGTGTTACGCATGCCAGTCCACCGACTCCCACGACGTGCGTTGTTTGCTCACCGGGGATGTGGGTGGAAGAAGAGTAGGGGTGGCCAAACGATGACTTGGTCCAGGGGAATGAAGTCCCTCACTTCAGAGCTAGCTTCTGTTGGAGCGTCACGGCTCCTTGGTTGGGGTTCAAAAGACGGTGAACAGGTTTGGCTGGATACACTTGCTGACATGGCAAGGAGCCGACCTCAGTGGCGTTTGTGCTGTGAGTTTCTTTGTCCTTCCCCATCTCTTTTAGCCTCCCCCTCCACCTACGATCTCATTTCGTATGGTAAAACATAATATTTTTTTCTTTTTGCCTAGTAGCTGGCTGGTAGCTTACCGGAACGATGCCTATCCGTTGCTGGTAGCTCAGCTGGCATGCAACTGTTGTGTCTATTTTCCTTTGTGTATTGTATTATATGTTTGTATGTATGTATTTCCTTCATGTATTGCGGCACAATAGCGGAGGTGTTTCCCACCTCTAACTGACGTGTATAATGATGAATGATGATGATGCCATCGCTTCCCAACATCTGAAATAAACATTAGTTCGTGATAAAGTCACCTTGATCATGTTCTGGTAACGTAGCTTCGATTTTTCAACGTACCGTTTCCCTGACGAAGTCGGCCAAAAAGCAGCTGTTTCGGTATCTGTGTCAAATCCATGCGGCGAACATGCCTGGGCCACCTCAGGTGCCTTAGCAGAAGTGCGCAGACCACTGCATACATGCCACTGCGGAACATTTTGAGGAGAAGTTCAGCATACCCGCTGCGACACAGCCACTTGCCGATCCACTCGATCCGATGTGCGAAGTAGATGTCACACCTCCCACTTTGAGAAAGATTCGCATGAGCTTACATTGTTGAGACGAAACAAGCCTACTGGACCCGACGACCTTCTCCTCTTCTTTGCTGAGAGATGGTGATGACTCTTAGTTGACTGGACATGCTTCTCTATTTAACACGATTTGGTACGCTGAAGAAGTGCTGTCAAATATTTTCAAAATTGGTCAGCGTACTTTGTGTGAAAACCATCGAGGCATTAGGCTTATTTCCAGTGCCTCAAAACTTCTCACGAGTGTCATTCTTCGACGACATTATGGTCCCCGTGAGAACGGAATCACTGAAGACCAGACAGGCTTTCGCCCTGGCCGTGGTTGCATCGATCACATATTTATTCCTCGCCAAGTGTTAGAGAAGAGACAGACTATGGTAATTTTCTTTGACTTGAAAGCCGCCTTCGACTTTGATGATCAAGCCAGCTTGTGGCACTGCCAGTCCATGAAGGGTGTGCCAGCTAAACTATTTTCCATACTGAAGCCCCTCGATCGTGATTTCCGAGGCCGTGTAAGAATCTACGGGAAACTCTCTCCTGAGTATCACACAGCGGCGTAGCACTATCGTGTCTGCAGCTCTGTCGCACCAACCGATGAGCAGAATTCATCACAGACAATGTCGATGAAACCGCTCTAGATAACGGACATCCTTGCGGTACATTGTATACGTTTCGCTGCCGTATAAAAAACGGACAGCACCATAAACTTGCATACCAGCAGCTATATTCCAATGGTAAGCTGTTGGTTGTTTCACACACGTTTCTCCAGTTTTCAGAACGCTGCAGCCGCCCTCGCTACACACATGCGCAGCTCACTCATCAACTGGAGGTCAATAACAGAATCTCGAACTGGTTTTCAAAACCACAGCAACGTTGATTTGCGGCAGGCCCATGGGTTCCACTTCTGGAGAAGGCTGAAAAAGACAAAAAGCCATGCCAGTGTTGATGGTGAGCCCGGATTTGGAAGCTGTCGAAGCGAGAGCCATAGTCATGTGCTGTAACTCATCCGCGCTGTGTGCAAACAACACACGGTCTCCAGCAAACAGCAGCATACAGATGACTGTCTCACACACTAGGGTTCCCGTTCCGAAACGGCGGATGTTCAGCGACCCACCAACAGGATCCGCTAGAAGTAGTTTAGGAATTCAAGTACCTCGGTAGCTATACTAACGCCCGGGAGATCGATTATGTGGTCACAAGCCGTATAGCAAAAGCTCGAGGTGCTTTGCTAATCTTAGCCACCTGTGGCGCAAAAGGGACATCACCCTCGCCCAGAAGAGCAGAGTTTATAATGCAGCCGTCCGTTCAACTATCTTATACGGTTGTGAAACCTGCCCATCAGGTTCACAGACACAAAGAGGCTAACTAAGTTCGACCAACGCTGTCTTCGAAGCGAGGCTCATGTCTGGTGGGAGCAACGCTTGAGCAAGGAGTGCGTAAGGTGTCGCAAATTTGGTGTGGGAAGAGCGAGTGAACCGCTCAGCACCATTATCCCACACAGGCTCCGATGGCTGGGCCACATGTTGCGCATGCCAGACCACCGACTCCTGCGTCGTGATTGCGCGCCAGGGGTGTGGATGAAAGATGAGGGGAGGACAAGCAATGACTTGGTCAAGAGGAATGAAGGCGTCGGTTGGTGCGTCCCGACTGCCTGACTGGGGTCCAAAGGACGATGAACACGTTTGGTTGGACACACTTGTTGACATGATGAAAAGCAGGCCTCAATAGCGTTTGTGTCGTGGGTTTATTTGTTTATCCGTCTCTTCGTTCGATTCCCCTGCAATCACGATCTCATGTCTAATA